ACTCATTCAACGAACTTTCATGAGCACAGACCACGTGTCTGACAACAGTGAACAAGACAGAGAGGGTCCCTGCTTAGGGACACAGAGCTGACATTCCGGCTGACAAAAAAATAAAAAAATAAATAAAAACAAAACGAACAATTTCAGGTACTAAAAGAACTCTGAAGTACACACATCAAAAGTGATTTAGTGGGAAGTAGTTGATGGTTAGAGTGTATCATAAGGCCCCTCTGAGGAGGTGATATTTGAATCAGTGACGTGAATGACAGGTCCTAGGAAGATCTGGGGCAGCGCATGCCAGGCGGAGGAAGCCCAAGTACAAAGGCTCTGGGATGGGAACAAGCTCAGTGTGTTCAGAAAGGAAGAGAGCCACGGCCAAGGCACCGGGGGTGGGGGCGGGGGACAGGAAGTGTCTTGAGGTGGGAGGAGGCATCTCTCCCTTTTCAGTGTTTTATAGCACTCGTCTCCACTTTATAAATCAATGAACTTTCCTCCCCGGGGAAAATGTGTCTGTAAAATCCTCTGAGATTTTTCAAAGCAAAGAATTAAATGTCCAAAGAAGGTAGAAAATTAATTAAGAAAAAGGAAATTACACTTACCATAGGAAATAGCACATATTCTCTGAGGAAATCTTGAGAATCAAACTGATTATAGTCTCCAAAATCAGCTGAGAGGAAAAGAAGAGGGAGGGGTGGTATCTATTATATGACATTAAAGACAGAATAAGATAGGGTACCCTTATCACCACATTTATTCCTCCCACTTCACCCTATTTCTGCACTATTATTAAATAAAAACTGTGCCAAGATGTATTTGATAGCACTACCACTTTTACTTAGCAATACTGTAAATATCAGCATGTGAGCACTACTACACAATTTTCTAGAAAGAATGGGGAAACTAGAAAGTGATTCCTAAAGGCTATCTTAAATTTTTAAAACAAACCTGTATTTATCTGTTTGTTAAATATGCATCAACACGTATCTTAAGAATATCTGCCAAGGGGACTTTTTAACTCAAGGTTAATTTAGAACCGAAGAGCCAAACCATCTGCATCTTTTCATATATTTGCAGCTGGAAATTCCCACTGTAAATCACCCTTGGCAAGCAACCTTGCAAATCTTTCCACCTCCTAAACAACTTCACATGTTGCAAGATGCCAAGAATTCTGTTTTGTCTTGTTTTCATCTCACAATGGTATGTTTGTGCACATGCAAAATGAACACAGCAAACCTATATCATGAATATCTTGCTTCTAATAATCTACTCACTCTCAAAAAAAACACAAAACCAGTATGAAATTTTAATTTCATGTAAAAGATTTAGCATCAGGTAGAAACAGATTCAGGTAACCTGAAGGTAACAAGAGATGCAGAATGCAAGGATCCACACAGAAGGCCCGTGTAAAGATGCTGCTGTGAAGGCAAAGATCCACCTACCAACTCAGCACACACCTAATTATCAATTAGGTGAGGCATTCAGGAAGAGCCAAGATCATGCACACTCTGCCTATTTTCAAGTTTAGTCATCAGTTATCATATTTCATCACAACTTATACCTCTGTTGATGTAACTTTCTAACTGCCCAATAAGGGCTCTCAAGGAAAATTATTTTACAAATATTATAACTAGAGGTGGTTTCATCAGACTGAACAGCCAGCTTCAAGGACCCAATGGAAAAGGAATCCAGAGTTAAGTTTGCCATTCAGCCTGAAAGCTATCACCAGGGTCCTCCAATATCCAGGATGCCTGTAACAAGCCTCATGATTGAAGAGTGAGAGGGGAAAAAACAGTAAATAAAGTGAACAGAAAAAAAGCTTTTTAAAAGGAGAAAGACCCAATTTGAAGACGAGGGACATACTGGATCTTTTCTTTCTCCTCCCTGTTAGGGGTGTCTTCCCCATTATTTCAATGGTTTTTCTGTTATAACCACTGATTGTTCTATCTAATTGGGCATTGTTTCTTCCCCTTCAGTCTTTAACTGGACAGACAGGATACAACATATTTAGCGCACTTGCATCCATAGGGTAACAATAGAAGCTAACTACACAGGAATCATACGGCCAGCAAAAACTGCCAACCTGCTGGGGCCGGCCCGGTGGTGTAGTGGTTAAGTTCAAGACCTCCGCTTCAGCGGCCCGGGGGTCGCAGGTTCAGATCCCAGGCTCGGACATATACGCTGCTCTCAAGCCATGCTGTGGTGGCGTCCCACATACAAAATAGAGGAAGACTGGCACAGATGTTAGCTCAGGGACAATCTTCCTCAAGGAAAAAGAGGAAGACTGGCAAAGATGTTAGCTCAGGGACAATCTTCCTCACCAAAAAAAAAAAAAAAAAAAAAATTGCTAAACTGCTAATAGCCTAGAAGAAAAGAGGTCATGGGAAGGCTGCCTCTTAGACAGTTTAGAACTGAAAAGGTTCAATTTCAGTTCAGAGTCTGGGATGGGAAGTTCAGTTCACAGCTTCTAGAACAACAGTCCACACAGCAAGGACTCAGCGTCAGGCAGGCTTACATTTGAACATTAACTGATTTTAAAGAAAATAATGACTGAAAGGCAAAAATGTTTCTCTTAAAAAATTATATTATCTCTTGTTTTCAATATGACTAAAGACAATTAAACCACCATT